ACGAATTATTTTTTTCGATATTTACAGTCGCGGCGGGAACATTTCTGATCTACTTTGAGCGACTTGAGCGTCTCACGGAAAATACCAATGAGAGGTTTACATATGCACCGGCGCACACGTGCCGTCGGCACTCTTGCTATTCCATACGTGAAATATGCTGAGAACGCTCTATACGTATTCTTTGTCCCCACACTTTCACCGAGTATTATTCAGTTCCCTTCCGGCGATATTCGTGTAATTTAATTTTTAGACGTTCGGGGGAAATATTAATATCGCTCGAACACCGAGGTTACAAAATTAACAAGTACATTAACCCTTTCGGGCTTGAATTTTGGCAATGATTGTAATCGACCCCAGCAAACAAAAATAATTTTCTTCAGAATGATTTGAATGACTTTCTCAATCGAGAAATTGATATTCTTGATGTTTGTCTTATTTTGGTGACTCCTGATCGTTAATATAAAAAATATTAGCGTTCTCTAACAATAATAAGAGCCCTCAAGTACATTTCGTAAACCCAAAGTGCCTAATATGTTCTCACGCGACAGACTGTCTATTACCATCGGTTCTAAGCGATAAAATCACTTCAATTCCCCTTTCCACTACCAACATTCTTCCACGTGATCTCGCAGACTTCTGCTCGAGGATTATTTACCCAGGCCGTTCCTCTGCCGACGATCGTTAAAAGATCGCTCGCCCTCTTATTTGTTTTATTAGGAAACCGATCCGCCCCACCGCGGAGAACCGCTTCCGAGTACCTTCGGGAGCAGGAAAGCCCTTAGTCGAAATGCCGGTAGCTGCTCTTCCATTTCCATTCCCCGTCATTGCTCTTTTTTTGCCTCTTTACCGCGACTGGCACGGATGGGAAGACAGCCGGGGATGGCGGCGGCGGGGGCCAGACTACAAGGACGATGCGGATTGTATAGACGCGCGAAATGTGCTCGCGTGTAGTTCCCAAACAGGCGAACTACGGCGTTCCGCAGCTGCGGCTCACGACAGCCCCATTACGCGATCGCGTGCATGACACCTACCCCACGAGAAACCGAGTAACTGCGGCTTCGGGGCGACGTGTCTGCGCCTGGCCACGGCTAGATGCATGCGGTTCCGAACGCGGAACGACATTGGTTGACAAACTATTTCCAAGGACCGAGGGGACAGATTTTATCGCGGCAACAGTCTCCGCTCGGTTCGACTTTTTGCGCTCACCCACGCTTCCGGTCGATTGTTTCTTGTTTCGCGGGAAATATGCTCCGAAGGACTTTTCATCCGGTACTGCTGTCGCGAGTTATCGCCAAATCGAATGTCCTCGCACCTGAGCCAAGGTCTGTCGCGTGGAGACGAAACAGCTGGGGCTTAATCCATTCGAGTTTTTTCTCTATTAACAGTTCAGTTATTTTGCCATTAGAAATTAACAGTACCATTCTAGGTATAGCTACGTATCGATTTTGAAAGCTGTTTAATTATTTTTGTCCATATGTTTTTAATACTGAACAAATTTAAATGCAACGAATGTATTCGAACGATATGACTAAATAACAATTTTTTTTTTTAAATTAGTGATTTCGTAATGGAATTAAATGAATATTTTGTACCATATTGATTCGAACCGATAATTACTTGCATCCATTTTGGTATGGATTACGGAAGCTTTTAAATTTTTTCAGGATTAATACACTTCGGATTGGGATGTCCATATAGGATTATTGTTTTGAAATGCAAACATGTATAGAAGTTGAGTTTTACCGCACCGTCGAAAATAACTGTCATTTTAGAATAATGTTATCATAGTATTCATTTTCAACAATGCTGGAACAAAGAATTTTCGGTTCGATGAGCGTGGAGCGTGCCACATGTCGATACTCGTACGTCATTACGACATGAATACACATTCTATCGATCTACGTTTCTTTCAATTTTGACTCGAAACATGAAAATAAAACGTTGGGTAACGCAAAAAATTGATTTAATAAAAATTCACTCGTCTCGTTTGATTTCCTTTAACTCGCGAAATATCCAAGAAACGATGCTTACGATTGCGGATAGAATTATTTCCCCGATCCCGAGAAGTTTGCCGTGTCTGTGCTTAAGGGAGTTTGTCTACGTGCTGAGAGTGCAGAGGGTCGAAAACGGCTGGGACGTGTACTACAAGTAAATTATGGTGGTCGAGCGTTGTTTCGGTTCTACGGTTGATCCTAGTTGTACGCAAGAGAAGAACCGAACCATAATCGATGGCGACGGCTGCGTTAGTTCAGACGATAAGGGACGACGTCGTGAAATATAAAATTATGGATAACAGGAGCGAACAGATTTAGGGAGCAAATAATTAATCAATTCTCATTGGATATTTCTCAAATTCGAGATAGCGGTTCGCGAATGTATACGTTTATTTGGCGTTCGGAGGTTTTCGACACGGCAGAGAAAGTCTTCCCTCGACGGGGAGGCTCGTAACGAAGCGCCCATTGGCCCGAGGCACTCATTCGGCCAGATAAGAGAGACAAAGGAAAAAATTAATCACGTGGGCGGCGCGCTGGCTCCCCTTCCGGTCCATTTTCACGGCCCATTTTTCTCGGATCGCGGACGCCGGGGATCGGGAGACGAACGAGGACGGAATGCGGGCTATCGTTTCACCGTGATTTTTCACCACCTCCTGAGAAATGGCAACGGCGAACGTGTTCCGTCGTGTCTGTTCGATTTCTACCTCTGTTTTCGCCACTCCCACCGATCCTTCCGGCGATACAGGTCGACGGTGAATCGCTCCGATACAGCTGGTGATCCGTTTTGCGGACTGTTGCTGATCGAAACGATTCTCGGCTCTCTTTGTCCTTCCTCCGACACGCGACAGAACGCGGTTCGCCAGAAATACGAAACACCGGTAAAACATTCGGAAATATTTATATTTCTCATTTAATTTTCCACGATACTCTGACACGAACGTGTGGAACAAAAATATTAAGGGGATTTTCTCCTTTACACTCTGTTCAAGGTATTACAATGAAAACGGAGAACAGTTTCCAATTAATTAAGAGACTGATATTTCATTTCCCAGAATCTGCATGTACTTCATCGTACTTATGTCTGAATAATGAGATAGTTTTACCTGAAAGTTAATTTGTTATTATGTAGTTGCAAAGTATTGCACCTAAACTATTGTAGACAGTTTTTCCCTATGATTGGTGGAGTTCTGTAAGAAATTTTTCTCTGTCAAGCGGAGGGAAATCTTCGATCGTGAATCAGAATTTGAAAATGGGCTAGGAAAATGCTACGCGTTAAAATAGAAACAACGATACACGCGTCGATAGGCGGAAAAGCCGAACACCCGTCGGCGATCGTTGAAAATTCGATAATATCGTTAATAGCGGGTGAGTTAATTAGCGCCTAATGAATTTCGAGTGACAGGGCTAACGATAATAATAAATTAAGCGCAATAGGACCGGGCTGATAGTGCGGCCGGACGTGCGGTTAAGCAGCAGTCGGCGCGATTATGCGCGGCTATTGATCACTCATTAATGAAACGATCGTCTGATACGTTGAGTTTCTGGCCCACTCAAGTATCATAGACCCCTGGCGCACTTGACAGCTCAATATTTCACCGTGGTCGTACGGCCTCGATGGAGTCCGAAGGACGATTACATCGGCCCGTTATTACCGGCAGGATATGCGAATCGGCCATGAGTAATATTAATCTTGGCCACTGATAACGTCGAACTTAGCAACGTAACCTCCGCCACGATACTCAGGAATCGAAATCTCTTACTTACATCGAGAGCTTCTCGAACGAAATCGAGTCGAGTAATAAGAACTAACGAGAAAACTGTTGAACGTAAATCAAAGCTGTTTAGAAAGTTGTGTAGAAAAACATTGAAACTTCAATTTTCTCGAACCCTAAGATCTTTCAACGAGGATATCGTAAATTGTACTATCGAACGTGGAAACGCTAGAAAGTCGCGTCTCTTGCACCGCAGCAATGATTCTTAAAATTAACAAATTCTTATGTTTGCGAATTCATTGACGGAAGTGGAATCGTCGTTCTCGGGCACGTCCGCTTTAGAATTTCGCTCCATCGCTCGGTAGCGATCATCGCCGCGACGCGAGTCGACGCGCCGCGCGAGCCGCGGTTCTAAAGAATTCATTAAACGAATACTAGAAGTCATTTACGGGGCACGTTTACCCTTCGCCTCAATTACACCCGGCCGGATACCCTTTTTACTTCAATTAGTCCGCTACATTTTCGCGTGCCGCGTTCCTTTTCGCCGCATCAAGGGCATCGCTGCCATGAAACACTCCTAATTAGCTTAATTAGTGCTCTCACATTGCCTTCAAATGGTAATGGAATTATGCCGGCGTTCGTCGTAACGTTACGCGGCAGAAAAAAAAAAAAGAGAGAGAAGGTAGAAAAAAACGCGTGGAGCGGCGAAGAGTAAAATAGGAGATGGAGTGAGCGAAAGTGGGAGAAAGAGGGAGGAACCGCCGGGGAAAAAGACCGCAAATTCTTATTCAGGTCAAAGGGTTTCTTTCACGTCATCTGCCGCACTCGAGAGCCGCTGAAAATATAAAATGACCTAGCGGCGAGTCTTTCACCTGACTTTTCCCTCCGCCGGACAAGCAAGCGGGGCGAGCGGCGAGCGAAACGCGCCGTTTCTACCGCGACACTTCATTTTCCCCGCTTTCTTTTCTCCCTTGGTACCGGCTAATACCGCCCGTACGATTCTCGCGAAACCACGCGATTCCGGGCATCGTTTCCCTTGTTTCTGCGTTCGAATTTTTCGAGGAAAATCTGAAAAACTACTCGGTTCAAGCCCAGGGAAATTTTCACGAATCCTTCGCCGACATTAGCATTTTCTATTCCGGGGTAAATTCGCCACTAGGGGGCTACGCTCTTGTCTCTCTTCCTTCCGTTCCTATATATACCATTGTTAATAAAGAGATTTGAAGCGCCTCGAATCGGTTTGAATTTATACAGGGTGTTGCGAAATACAGAGTATACGGTTTTGGTGACTTACCGATTTCCAGGTATTTCTGATGCACCGGGTCGTATTGATCCCACGTCAGGCTACGAAAACGGCCTTTTTCTCGGTTGGCATGCACAGGAGTGTCGTTTCGGCCGTGGTGATCGATCACGTTCGGATTCCTGGAATAAGAACGTAAATCGTTGTTTTAGATATCGACGTCGATCGCGGGGAATCGTCACGCGAACAACACCGATCCAAGTGGAACATCTGTTCTTTATTTCTTTCCACCTAGAAGAAGATACAATAGCTTCGTGTTTCAACATTATTGCGAGTGAGAAAAATAAGAAACAGTGTTTCCTTAGATCCAGTCGAAATACAAAATAGGAATAAACATTGTCTACCGGGTAAATAAATATAGTAGATAAAAATGATTGTTAAACACAGTCTACTTGTATCGTACGTGATAATTTATATAAACAAAACCAATTACGTAATTGATTAAAGACTTAATTGTATTGTTAGTGTCACAATTCTGGAGAGAAAATCGTTCCTTTTGTTTGTTAATTTATTTATTAAAAGAACACCAGGCTCTGGTGTTTGTACTAATCGCGTCGAATAATTTTTGGTCATTTATCAGAGGGATTGTACAACGAGGGGTCGATGTTTCGCAGACGGCTGCTCGTTGCGACACCCGCCATTGTTACACTTTGTCCTGCTCGCAGGAAGTAATATACAGGCTTGCCCGTTGTTTACATCGCCCATACATGCACCCTTGTATCCTTTGACCGACCCGGATACGCATTGTCAACCCTTATGTTTCCCACCCTTGTCGCGACGTTACGCAAAAATACGTACGCGTCGCGAGTACACGATGTCTGCGCGAAAATGATCGAGCATCGCGCGAGATCTACGCTGAGAACTGGTGAAAGTCCAATTCTTAATATCGACAAAACGAGACGTCGAGTACTATGCTAGTTAAATTGTACATTCATCGAAAAAATTAATTATAGTTGATCATTTCGAATAGTTTGTAATTCTAGTTGCAAACTAAGTAGTTCTTATATTGAAAATTGTTTGTTATCGGTAATAGAAATATCTAGTCGATCATACAATAATAATTATACTAGAGAGACGCTTACTTCTTGGTACTTAATGCGCCAATCATCGTTTCATTAAACCGAACAATGTAATTTGCAAAAGGAACAATGAAAAGTAAGTAGTATTAAGGAGCAACGAGTCAGACGCGAATTTCCATAGCATTTCTGCGTTATAATTAAATAATTGGCTTTGAAAGTAGTATTAAAGTAACTAGCGTTAAATTGAATTTAGTTCCACATTTATGTTTTCAATAATCACCACGCATTGTTTTGTTAAAATGAAAAGCATTAATATTGAGTTGTAGTAATACTGCTCGTTGCTTTCAAACCTGTAACAATATTAAATAATAAATAGTACCAGGAATCGATTACAGCTCTACTCGATTACCTTCATATTTGAAGGTAAATCATATTTAGCCACTGAATTAAAACGATGTCTTCTCATATACACCATTATTATTATTAAAATAATAATTGCAATTGTAGGTAAATTATGTTACAGTTTAATTGAAATTCTTAAGAAACGAGAAACACATTGTTCCAATTGTACAGTAACATTTGTCCCAGTTTTTGTCGCTTGTCGACCATCGTCGGAGGTGTAATTTGCATCGTATGAAAGTATGCATTTGCATCGGCACGAGCATCAACAGTTCGATAAAAAAGCTCATAAAAGAACGCAACGAAGCAGTTCTTCATTTCTATAACAGTGATCTCTTAAAGAGAGGTGTAATTGTCATGTAACGGGATATACGCCGGCTAAAAAACAGAAATGGATTCTTGTATCGAAACGTTACGATCTTCCAGCGGTTTTAATCGACGTATCGAAACCGAGCGGTGTTCCTGTCGGCCGTTTAAAAAAAACCATCGATCCCAATATTCGCACCGATAATGGGGACCGATCGCGCGTATTATTTGACCGGACGATTCGTAAGATTTATGACTGGACAGGGGATAAATGTTAAATTTCGCGACGTTTGATTTTGAAGCGGTTTGATGAATCGTGCCCCCAGGCGGGAAAATATTTTCCATCCCGAACACTAGCGACAAATAATCGTGTAAATTGGCCTCGTGGGCCGTCACGGTCGAAACAAATGCCGTTGGAATATAAACGAATCGACCAAAAAATACTAGATAAGCACACGGGGGCGTCCAGTTATTCGGATGCATTTTTTGATTTAGTAACTGGGAAAACTTTCAGTGCCAATAAACTACACGTTTACTCTTTATTCTTTTAAACTTTCCAACAAAATCAAAATAATCGTTTCTTTGGCTATTGAAACACAATTGTGGTAAACAGACCATTATCGTAGCTCTTGTTACGAGGGTTAACATTTAAACGTAAACGAGTTATGAATTATTAAATCGTTGCGTAGGGATTTCATTGACAACTGCTAAACAGAAAGTAAGTAGAAGGAACTGAGGGGGAATTGCTGTTCAGACAATCGGTGTAATTAGATAGCGGTCTAATCTTTCTGTTTACCAGTCTGCCATACGTAATTTCCCAGAAATATTGAAACCATTTTCTGGATAACGTCACGCATGGAACGCGCTTGGAAATATTTGCATCCTGCGCGGCGGATGCAGATTTCAGAAGAGAAAGTATCTCTCATCCACTTTAATTCTGTAATTAAAGAGGTAAATGGTAATCCTCGAACGCCCCAATTGTGCTTCTCGCGTTTAGAGCACGCAGTCCCTGACCTGTTTTCGGCTGAAGTATCTTGAACAGAATTCCCAGCGGGTCTATGTACAGTCAGGATTTCGGATTTAGTGGATCAAGTGCTTGAAAAGGTGCGCACGACGACGTAATTGAAAATAAAAATGGAGAATATTTAAAATGAAACAACGCACGGGAAACAGAGTTACGCGAAAAAGTACATTTCCCCCCTCGAAATGGTACTTGCCCGAGTCCTTTAAATATTTTTAGAAATTCAGGTACGCGTGCAACCTTTTACGACATGAGCAATGGTCCTACGATCCCGTAGGAACTAAAATGTATTTGGAACTTACAAATACATAATTATAAGTTGTAAATGAGAATATCAATGCTTTGTACTTCATCCGGAGGCTTTTATAACAGCTTTGCAACTTTCAGGCATGGAAGATATTAATTTCTGAAGTGCTTGCTTAAAAACTTCGTCCAACTACACTCCGTGAATAGCATCTTTTAATATTATTTTGTTCCTGGACTCCTTGCCCGCAGTAGCATTCGTAATTAATTCCCAAGAATTTTTAATTGGATTTAAATCTTTATCTCTCGCGAAGTGGAAGTTCTTTCTTCTTTAGGAAATTACTGGATCTGTTCTCTATTGATAAGAAATATTTTTACTAAACAATACCTATATATATATAGGGAGAATACGGTCCTAATAAAAATAATGTAAAGTACCATGTACAAAGTATGTAAACCCATAAACATTGCAAGAGTTTCTGAAAATAATTGCAATTTACGTAAGACTATGCCGCAAATAACATCGAAGACAAAGTAACGTCTACACGTAAGAGCTAATCCCCGTATGTTCGATCGGAATTGAGTCATTCGTCACAGCTTATGTGAGTCTCTGTGCAGTAGTAAGCAACCAGTGCTGGCTGGCTTGCAACTAGCACCGACCAAACAAACGGATAACCGCACAGATCCGGTAATCATGGAGCTGGCGATAATTCGTAGTCGCACAGCATTATACGGAAATCCCTCTGCTATCGAAACCCTATGAATCTACACACTTGACCCAGCTGTGCTTCTGCCGAAGAGACGTCGCAAACAAGATATCGCGTTCAACGAGGTGACGGCGTCGCGTAATAAAAAAATTTCCATTGCGTTCGCAGTTCGAACCTCCCATGTCGCTCGACGCGAGAAATACTACCGCAAAGAGAAAGAAAGAACAGTCTCGAGCTGATAAAAAAGTTTAAACTATTACTAGATAGCTAATTATTAAACATTTCTCGTTTGCTAAGTGTTCGAGTTTTTAATGAGTAGTGCTTTGTAACGTGCAAAATAATTTTTTTACAATATTAATGATTCGTCCCAATTTTCTACGTCGAATGTTTGTCAACTTTGAATCGAGTTCCAAATAAAATACGAAAAAATATATCCGTGATTTTCTGGATATTAATCTACGGTACGTTGAGTTTTAATTTAACGCCAATTTTAGCTGCCCGGATTTGCGTGAAACAGAGAAAATCAAAATCAAAATCATTATTGAAACGTCAAAATTGATATGATGAATAATGTTCTTATTAATGTATTCAAGAGAGGATGTACGTTTTTGCTAATTTTTTAGGAAACTAGTGTTACATTCCCGACATTGTGCATGTTTGCTATTAATATGGCGGCGTATTGACAGGCGTTGGTATGGTTGGAAGACTAACTGTTGCAGAATAATTATATGTCTACGAGCCGCGACACGGCAGCAAGTGCAAATCGGCCCTCGAGCCATAATTAGTTTAACATGCCTGCAGTGAACGTTTAAATCAGTCGAATAGGCTAGCGCGTGGTAGGCAACGGGAGTAGCACTGTGCCGAACATTGAAGTAGAATAGGGCGGTGTCTGGCCGGGGCGAGATATAGGACGCAGAATTGAATCGTAATCCGTCAAAAAAGTAGAGTAGGCCGTTGCTCGATTCGATAAGTAGAGTATGACGGCGCTGGGCCAGACAGCTGGCAACACCAGTTACATCAAACAGAACAGTAGAATAGGCACGTATTTAGTCGGACAAATAGAATATCACTGCGGTTACCAGAATACCTGCACGACTAAAAAGTGATATACAGTGGTATATGGAGGTATCGACTCGTAACATCACATTTGAAATTTATCGTTCACCTTCATCCACCTGCTGATAATTCACTCCTTAGAGGATGAAACTTCAAAAGGAAGGTAAAAATTCTAATTTTGTTTAAAATCAATTAGTGCTCGATTGATGAGTCCAGGACGACACGCTTCTCTCCCCTTTCTATATTTTTCCACTTAATATCTCGCTTGCTCGCTTCCTCCATGCAACAAGCCGCCACAGATTCGAGAGTAACGATCAGAGCTCGAATAAAAGACCACTTTACCTATTACTTCGTCAGCCTCTCCGTTCTTG